CACAGGGCACGCTTGTCCGGGTGCCCTGTTGAAACGGCAACCTGAGACTTGAGAGGGCTGAACTTGAGACTGAAAGGGACTTGGGCAGTGGGCCAGCCCAGGGGATTGCAGGGACACAGCGTTTGGGATAGCGCAGTGGGACAGACAAAATAGCGATTCCAAACGCTCGCTATGGAGACGGTCACTGAGACGCTCCGTGGGGGAGGGGCATCCACCATTACCGAGGCAACCCGCCCTGACTAGACACACGCCCACTGCTGACGCAGCCTGCAGTTGCCGAGGCAACCCACCCCTACTGAGATACACGCCCACTGCTGATGCAGCCTGCCGTTGCCGAGGCAACCCGCTACAACAGAGAGACTCCGCTGCAGGGCGTAGCCCATGGTGGAGACCGCAGCAGAAGAGCAAGAGCCTGCAGCAACAGGGCGAACCTCACAACAGCAGGGCAGAGCATTGGCTGACAAATACTGATTAGACTGCCTCCTAGCTGGGCAGGACACCTCAACAGACATCCAAAAACAAAGCCCCAACCCCCCAAAACAGAGTATTTGAGAAAAAAAGGGGTTTTTTAATGAGCTCTGTTGCAGCAGAATCAAACATAGCAGCCTAACAGCCCTGAATGAACAACAGAGCTCACAGCTCAGAAATTGAGCTCCTATAAAGTACAGACTGTCTCCTCAAGCAGCTCCCTGACCCCTCTATATCCAAAAGACTGACATTTGGCAGGCATCATCCTGGGACAAAGATAGCAGAAAAAGAAACTGATAGCATCCCTCACTGTTCCGCAGCTGCTAGAGGTGCACCCCAGACAAGCAGGGCCTGGAGTGGACCTGAGCACTCGTATAGCGAAGGGGCTAGACTGGTAGAAGGAAAATCAAGTAATAGAAGTACTTCATCACCAACAATCTGGGTGTCCACTCAGAGACCCAATCGAAAAGTCAGCAACTACACGGACGACAAGTGGATAAATCCACAAAGATGGGAAGAAACCAGAGCAAAAAGGAGGAAAACACCCGAAACCAGAACACTTCGCCTCCTAGAAAGGACCAAAACTCCTCATCAGCAAAAGAACAAAGCTGGACGGAGAATGACTGTGATGAAATGATGGAATTAGACTTCAGAAGGTGGATAATGAGAAATTTTTGCCTGCTAAAAGAACATGTATTAAATCAATGCAAAGAAACTAAGAACCTTGAAAGAAGATATGAAAAAAGGTTTGAGGAAATGATGACAAGAATGGATAACTTAGAGAGGAATATGAATGAATTAAAGGAGCTGAAAAACACAATACAAGAACTTCGCGAAGCATGCACAAGTTTCAATAGCCGAATTGACCAAGCAGAAGAAAGAATATCTGAAGTCGAAGACCAACTCAATGAAATAAAACGAGAAACCAAGATAAGAGAAAAAAGCGCAAAAAGGAATGAACAAAGTCTCCAAGAAATGTGGGACTATGTGAAAAGACCTAACCTACATTTGATAGGTGTACCAGAAGGGGACGAAGAGAATGAATCCAAGCTGGAAAATACTCTTCAGGACATCATCCAGGAAAATTTCCCCCACCAAACAAGACAGGTCAACACTCAAATGCAGGAAATACAGAGAACACCACAAAGATATTCCACAAGAAGAGCAACCCTAAGGCACATAATCGTCAGATTCAACAAGGTTGAAATGAAGGAGAAAATACTAAGGGCAGCCAGAGAGAAAGGTCGGGTCACCCACAAAGGGAAGCTCATCAGACTCACAGCAGATCTCTCAGCAGAAACACTACAAGCCAGAAGAGAGTGGGGGCCAATATTCAACATTCTTAAAGAAAAGAACTTTCAACCCAGAATTTCATATCCAGCCAAACTGAGCTTCAGAAGTGAAGGAAAAATAAAATCCTTTGCAAACAAGCAAGTACTCAGAGATTTTGTCACCACCAGGCCTGCTTTACAAAGCTCCTGAAAGAGGCACTACACATAGAAAGGAACAACCAGTACCAGCAATTCCAAAATCACACTAAATGCTAAAGAGCATCAACATAATGAAGAATCTACAACAACTAATGAGCAAAACGCCACTTAGAATCAAAATGGCAGTATCAAATTCACAAACAACAATATTAACCCTAAATGTAAATGGACTAAATGCACCAATCAAAAGACACAGACTGGCAAATTGGATAAAAAGCCAAAACCCATCAGTGTGCTGTATTCAGGAAACCCATCTCACATGCAAGGATACACAAAGGCTCAAAATAAAGGGATGGAGGAAGATTTACCAAGCAAATGGAGAGCAAAAGAAAGCAGGAGTTGCAATTCTCATCTCTGATAAAATAGACTTTAAAGCAACAAAGATCAAAAGAGACAAAGAAGGCCATTACATAATGGTAAAAGAATCGATACAACAAGAAGAGCTAACGATCCTAAACATATATAAACCCAATGCAGGAGCACCCAGATACATAAGGCAAGTTCTTAATGACTTACAAAGAGACTTAGACTCCCACACAATAATAGTGGGAGACTTTAACACTCCACTGTCAATATTAGAAAGATCAACCAGCAGAAAATCAACAAGCATATCCAGGGCTTGAACTCAGACCTGGAGCAAGCAAACCTGATAGGCATTTACAGAACTCTCCACCCCAAATCCACAGAATATACATTCTTTTCAGCACCACATCACACCTACTCAAAAATTGACCACATAATTGGAAGTAAAGCACTGCTCAACAAATGCAAAACAACTGAAATCATAACAAACAGCCTCTCAGACCGTAGTGCAATCAAGTTAGAACTCAGAATTCAGAAACCAACCCAGAACTGCACAGCTTCATGGAAACTGAACAACTGGCTCTTGAATGTTGACTGGGTAAACAACGAAATGAAGGCAGAAATAAAGAAGTTCTTCAAAACCAATGAGAACGAAGACACAACATGCCAGAATCTCTGGGACACATTTAAAGCAGTCTCTAGAGGAAAGTATATAGCATTAAGTGCCCATATGAGGAGAATGGAGAGATCCAAAATTGACACCCTATCGTCAAAATTGAAAGAGCTAGAGGAGCAAGATCAAAAAAACTCAAAACCCAGCAGAAGACAAGAAATAGCTAAGATCAGAGCTGAATTGAAGGAGACTGAGACACGAAAAACCCTTCAAAAAATCAATAAATCCAAGAGCTGGTTTTTTGAAAAGATCAACAAAATAGACAGACCACTAGCCGGATTGATTAAAAAGAAAAGAGAGAACAACCAAATAGATGCAATAAAAAATGATAAAGGGGAAATCACCACAGATTCCACAGAAATTCAAACCATCATCAGAGAATATTACAAACAACTGTATGCACATAAACTAGTAAACCTGGAAGAAATGGATAAATTCCTGGACTCCTGTGTCCTCCCAAGCCTAAACCAGGAGGAAGCTGAAACTATGAATAGACCAATAACAAGGTCAGAAATCGATGCAGCAATTAAGAGCGTACCACACAAAAAAAGCCCAGGTCCAGACGGGTTCACAGCCGAATTCTACCAGACACACAAAGAGGAGCTGATGATATTTGTGGGCTCCTGTTTGGCAAAGTGATGACAGTGAAAGCCAGATTATAATCAGCTGAGAAGTACCTGTCACAGGTAAGCAGCAACAGCAAACAGGACTTAATTCTTTAAAGAGGCTTGACAAAACACCAAATAAATTGGATGCCTTAAAAGGGAATTTGTAATAATCAATTTATAGTCTACTAATAAAATGGTGTATTATACAGATTCAAAAACTTATGCTATATAAGATTATTTAGCAACATGTAACTAAATTAAAATATATTAATAAGAAAGAAGCAGATTGATATTAGATGTATATTTCCAACTTCATAAGACAAAATAAGTCTGTAATTTTGCCAAAAATGTTATTAAGCAGTATTCTCTTTATGGTGAGAGATACTTTTTTATATTCATTTAAGTATTTTCAAAATTCTTTATGATGAGCATGTATTACTTTTCTGAACAGTAATAAAAAACAAAACAGTATGTTTAACGATGGGGGAAATTATTTTTTCCTATTTTTAATATAAAATATATTGTTATTGAAGTAAAATTTACATGTAAATGTTCATTTTCATGTTAGGACAGCTTTTCAAAACACTTGAAACAGAATACAGAATATTTTCATCATCCAGGAAATGTCCTTCTGCTTTCCACTCCACTCCCTGTTCAACCAGATGTAGGTAACACTATAGATTAAATTTCGGCTATTTTTTGACTTATAGAAATGGAATAATAGATTATGTATTTTTTGAGTTGGCCTCTTTTGTTCAACATAATGCTTTTGAGATTTACTTATCCCGTTACCTGTATAAATAATTTGTTTTTCTTTATTGGAGAGCAATATTCCAATATATAAAAAGACCACCATTTGAATATCAGTTCTTCTGCAGATAGACATTTGGGTGGTTACCTATGTTTGGCTATTATGAGTGAGGCTGCTGTGAATATGCTCATCAATTATTTTAGATTAACAAAAATTTTTTTGAAGTTGGTATAAAATTTTTCACTGCAATCAGTGATATATGAGACTTCCAGTTGTACCCTATTTTTGACAATACTTGGTATGATCATTTTGCATTTCCTTGTAGCCATTAGAATATTTTTAGTTTTCATTTCACTAAAAACTAAAACCTCGGAAAAGTTTTCATGTGTACTATCCCTGATGAATTGGCTAGTACATGTATTTATTATGGATTTGGAGGAGATTTTAAAAATATATTATTTTAATAAAATATTTATGATCTATGAATTACAGATTATTTTTATTGCATAATTGTATAATTTGCCTTTTGCTTTCATCATGATGCATTTTTATTAGCAGTTGCATTTTATTTTTATAAAATCTAATTAACCTTTTATTATTGGATTGTCCTTGTAAAAACTCTTGTTTTACCCAAATTGTGAAGATACCTTTTCCATAGAGGATTTATGGTTGTAATGTAATCTTTTAACTTTGTGGTCCATAAAAATTAATATTTTTAGGTTTTTAATATTTTTATTAGGTTAGGTAGAGATTAAAGTTATATTTTTCTTAAGACCATATAGCAATTAAAACACCATTTGTTAAAAAAAAAAGATCTCTCATTCTTCCATTTAACTGCCCTGATGCAGTCATCCAAAATCAATTAATGATATATCACCCGATTTATTTCTGGACTCCCAATTATCTTTCATTATCTATTTGGTCTTCTGTCATATCACACTCTCTTGATTTATGTATTATTTTTGTAACTTTGTAAGTCTTCCGAATGTGTTCTTTTAATTTTTTACAGGATCATTTTGGCTATTTCAGATCCTTTGCTTTTCCAGCAGGTTTAGCAAAAGCAAGTAAGTTTCTTGACAAAGAATGCATTTGATTTGGAATGCATTGACTCTGTAGGACAGTTTGAAGAGAACTAAAATATTAATAATTGCCAATGTTTTAATCTATGAATACTTATTTTTCCATTAATTTTGGTACTATATTTATCTCAGTATTATTTTATAGTTTCCACTAATTCTGGTAATTTTCCACATAGAGAAAATGCATACTTTCCAATTGATTTATCATTATGTATTGGTAATTTTTCATTAAAGTTTTAATGATATTTTGGCATATACATATATATATTACACATAAATGTTCCATATATAATTTGTTATATATTTGACATATTATATGTAAGTTACATGTAATTAGCATGTAACTAATTGTTATGTTTCAATTATTTGATATATTTGTTTGAATATTATATATACTATATATCCATAATCTTATATTATATGCAAAATTTTCTGACAAGTACACTTACAATGAGTAGCATAAAAACTAATGTCACAGCAGAACAACAAGTTAATAGAAAACAGCAATGAAAAGAGTTTCTTAGAGTAAGCAAGAAAATACGTCAAATAAGAAGAGTGCCTGAGAGTGGACCAAATGTTCACATATTGCTGTCAAACACAATCTAAGGGTTCTTAGCTGTAACTGGGCATTCATTGTCAAGTTCCTGCTGTTTTTAAGATGTTACACTGAAAGTGAAGTTGTAAGTTTTGTATTAACTTACAACTCAAGCTTAGATTTCTAACCATACCTGACAAACATGATCTGACATTAGGACTTAACCCTGACAAGATCTGATTTATATCAACTGCCTTTTTTACCTGATGAACAACCCTTTAGTCTAGAGTCAACAAAATTTTCGACACACTCTTTTTTCTTTTTTACGTTATTTTCATTCTCTTTTTTTTGTATTAAAATATGAATAAAATTAGTATGTGGATACTTGCAAGCAATTATCAGAAAATTGTATCCTGTTTCAGTTTTTTTAAATATAGCATTTTTAATAATTTGTTGTAAGTGAGAGTATGTAGTTTGTTTTCTGTTGTCTTTAATTTTTATTTCCTGGTGATAACTTTTGTCTTTGTATAAATAAAACTATAGTTTGATTCTCATTATTTATTTTTCAGATATATTCCAGTGTCAGATACTTATATATTTGCCAATATATATACATATATGTGTGTGTGGATATATGTATGTATGTGTGTGTATATATGTATGTGTTGTGTGTCTGTTTGTGTCATAGACACACATACACACACATTTAAACACACACACACATATATTTATGTCACATTTCAGCTAATTTGTATTAGTCAGATTTCATATAAAGGTACAAGGATGCAAGATTGCAAAGAAAGTTTCCAACTATTTAAAAGGTTTTATGACCTTTTATGCTTCTCAAAAGCACAGGTAACAGAAGCAAAAACAGACATGTGTGATTATATCAAACTACAGATCTTCTCCACAACAAAGAAAACAAACAACAGCAACAGAATGAAAAAGAAACCCTGAAACAGGGGGAAAATATTTTCTAACTACTTATCTTCTAGGGACTATATCCAGAATATACAGGGAACTCAAACATTCTGATTGCAAAAGAAAAAACATCCAATAAAAAATTGGCAAATAATCTCAACAGACATTTCTCAAAAGAAGACTTACAAATGGTTAATAAGTATCTAAAAAATGCTGAATATTGCTATTCATCAGGGAAATGCAAATTAAAGTCACATTGAGGTATCATCTCACTCTAGTTAGGATGGCTATTATCAAAAAGCCAAAAAATTAGATGCTGGCAAGGATACAGAGAAAAGGGAGTTTTTTGTACTAGATTGATGTATGTCTTTTGAACAGTTCTAGTTTTACTTTATACAAAATAATCAGGAAAAGTGTAAAAATTCAAAAGTGAAATACAAGTTTTATCAGTTAGTTGCCTGTGGGGGAGGAAATGTAAGCTAGTAGAGCCACAGTGGAGAAAAATATAGCAATTCCTCAAATAAACAAAAAACAAATAGACCTACCACATGATCCAGCAATCCCACTACTGGACATTTATCCAAAAGAAAGGTGCTCATTATGTTAAAGAGACACCTGCATGCCTATATTTATTGCAGCATAATTCCAATAGCCAAAGTATGGAATCAACCTGGGTTTCCAATTAAAGATGAATGGATAAATAAAATGTGGTATGTATACACAATGGGATAGTATACAGCCATTAAAAAAATGAAATCCCGTAATTGGTGGCAACATGGATAGAACTAGAGGACATTATGTTAATAAATTAAGCCAGAAACAGAACCTTAAACACTGCATGCTCTCACTCATCTATGGAAGCTAAAAAATATTGATCTCATAGAAGTAAAAAGTAGAACAGAGGATACTAGAGACTGGGAAGGGTATGGGGAAAAGAGGGATTGGGAGACATTTGTTAAACTTACAACTAGACAGGAAGAATAAGTTCTAGTGCTTTATAGCACTGCAGAATGACTATAGTTGACAATAATATATAGTTTCAAATAGCTAGAAGGAAGATATTGAATATTCCCCACATAAAGAAATGATAAATGTTTGAGATGATGTGTATGCTAATTACCTTGATCTGATCATTATACATTAATGTATCCAAACATCTCTATGTACCCCATGAATATGTATGATTATTATTTGACAATTATAAAAATTAAATTACAGAGTAAATAAAATAAAAATTTTAAACATTTTTAAAAATGGGTGATGTTTGCAGTGGCTACATTTAGAAAGCAGCATATAGAAAATATGAATTTTGAGAATACAATGTATTGAATTAATTATACCAACTAAACACGAAATATTTCAAAATTTAAATATAATGTTGTCAAAGTGTTGCAGACTGATGTCTGTGTTCCCTCAACATTTGTATGTTGAAATCCGATCCGCAAGGTGAAGGCATTTAGAGGTGGTATTTGGGAAGTGACTCCCCCAAATTCATGAGAGAGAATTGGTCATGTGGGTGTAGCTCTCATGAATGAGATTCATATCCTTATAAACAATTTCCTAAAAGGAGAGCTCCCTCTCCCTGTCCACCAAGTCAGGATACAGCCAGACGAAAGATGTCTATAAACTTAAACGAGAAAGTGGTCCCTCACCAGACACTGCATCAGCCAGTGCCCAATTTTGGAATTCCCAACCTCCAGAATTATGAGAAATAAATTTTTGTTGTTTATAAGCCACTCAGTCTATGGTAGTTTGTTAGAGCAGCCAAAACTGACTAAGACAGAAGATCTATCTATCTATCTAGCTAGCTAGCTACCTATCCATTTATCTTTCTTCTGTCTTAGAATCTGGTTTCCCAATAAATGTCTTCAAAAAATGAATGCAACTAACAACAGATAGATTATGTTACAAAACATATATGGAAACCATTTTCTTCAGCAGTGAAATATACATGACAGTAGATGTTAAAAAGTATAACTTTTGTGTTAGAAAAAGTCAAATATCTCAGAAATGTTTTAAGGTATTAGAATATATAAATAAAAATAGAAATTTTAGAGGATTAATGAAGTATGTCCAATAAAAGAATGATAGTTTCAATGAGAGAAATCAGCAAAATTTAGATATATAAGTCATTATAATACTGTGATAGTACAGTGTCTCCATCTTGAAGCATATAGATTCTAGAAATAAAAGGTCTAAGTTAATAGAATAATTGCTATTATAAAATATACTGTTAGGAATTTGAGACAGCAGGAATAGAAGTAAGTCTTAAAATCTTTCAGAAAAGATCAAGAAATAAATTTTTTTTTGAAATTGAAGTTTTGTCAAATGTCTCAATATAAAAGTTGTCCTGAGAAGGAAGTAAAAAAATGTTGTGAAAATTTTGAGAGAAAAAGAGAAATATGTAATCTATAACCTAGCTAACTTATCAATAAAGTGTACAGGTAAAGTAAAAATATTGTCAAGCATTCAAGATCTCAAAAATGTTACTTCCCAAATCTCCCTTCTAAGGAAAATATTAAGGACATGTTTCACCAAAACAAGTAAGGACAGTTTTTAGGTGGATGGTGGAGAGAATTCAAGGATAAAAACTAGGGAGGAGGTCCAGAATTTATGGATGCTATGCTGGGCGCGATGGCTCATGCCTGTAATCCTAGCACTTTGGGAGGCCAAGGTGGGCAGATCACAAGGTCAGGAGTTGGAGACCAGCCTGGCCAACATGGTGAAACCCCATATCTATTAAAATGAAAAAATTAGCCAGTGTGGTAGTACACACCTGTAGTCCCTGCTCCTCAGGTGGGTGAGGCACAAGAATCACTTGAACCTTGGAAGTGGAGGTTACAGTGAGCTGAGATCATGCCACTGCCCTCCAGCCTGCATGACAGAGCGAGACTGTCTGAAAAAAAGGAAAAAAGAAAAAGAGAAAAGAATAGAATAGAAAAGAAGAACATATGTTCTTCTTCATTTTCCCAAAAAAGAAAATGAAACTGATACAGTCCCTAATGTGTCTAAATATATTAAAATAAAACTACAGAGAAAAGTATTAGTGATCAACAAATAGAAATAGACAACTAAAAGCAGTGTAATTTTTACTGCAAAAATCACACAATATGTGTAAAACATTAATTTAGTCATAGCACACTAGATGGCCCATCTGTGAATATTCACATAGTATAATAAGAAAAAAATGGACTTAGTCAATAACGATTCCTTACTGAAGACTTATGTTTGTGATGAGGGAAAAGAACAAGGGGAAGCAGGAAAATTGTTGCATTTGGTTGTCATAAATCAAAAGATAATACACAAAAATTAAAAATAAAACATAATTGCATATTTATATTGTTTAGAATATAGAATATAAGAACAGAGGAAATCACTGAAAGAGTTGAAAGTTGTTTGACTCGGGATATAATAAGATTGTAAAAAGCTAAAAGGATATTATTGAGGAGAAGAATTAGCATTTTATGCTACGCTAATGCTGGATTTCAGTGGATATTAAAAATTTCTTTAAAAACAAAATGTTACAGATTTTTAAAATACACAAGTGAGCATCAGACACAGATGCAATATTTTTTATAAGCAAGCCAATTAGATATGGCTACCAAGGTGTCAATTTCTTGCAAGTGAGGACATTTCTTCATTTATAATTGCTGCCAAGATTCTGAATCATACATGAGGCAACGTGATCCACTGAGAGAGCCACTTCTGTTCCAGGACATCTCATTTTGTGCTCTCCCTATTTCATGACTCACATGTTTCAACCAGAGAGGCTTCATAACCCCATGCATTTAGGCTTACAATGTGGATTTCTAGGAAAAACTGAGACCGCCTGCAGAAATATTTTATAGACTCTTTCCTCTGTAAAATAGCATTATCACTTTATAAGCTTTTGAACAACTTTGAACACGTTCATTAATGTGTTTACAATAACTTGAGGGCCTTTATTTCCTTGAGTGTCCTAAGCAGTGAGTGGTAACATCAAGCTTGTTGCTTACTCTGCTTACTCTTTTCCTTTCCAATACAAGCCCTTCACAAGACACACAGTTCCTTACCTAATACTGTTTATATTAGTTTTTACTGTCTTTCAAAAATGTCTGCAAGCAAGTAAGTCATTAAAACCTGGACAACAACCATATTAAGTCTGTTGAAAAACATGGGAATCACAAGCATATTTGTACATGAGTGTTTTGGAATCTTCTTAGCTCAATTCCTGGTTTTCTCTCATTATCGATAGTTAGTTGACAAGCTTTATATACATTAATAAAGACATTTTGTTAACTCATGTTAAAGGCAAAATTCAACTCCTTCTCTTGACAATTTATCCTAGCATCACAGCCTCTGGGGATAGGGTTTAAAATGCTTATTACATATTTTCTCTAATTTTCATTTAATTATGTTTATAAACCTTGAGACCCTTTGCTGAATCATATAGTGATGATATTAGAGGAATTTCCAGTAATATGATAGACTGATTTTAATTATTTTCCTTCTGCTTTTCTAGATTTAGACTGATTTTATTCACAACAGCCTTCAAAAAAAATTCCTTACGTTTGATGTTCTATCCTCACTCAGTTAGGACAGTCTTCAAAACAAGCCGGCTTCCTCTGGATCACAATGGTAATGCCTTCCCTTACAGCTTGCTTCAAAAATTTTGCATCTTCATACCAAAGTTTTAGAGTTACACCAGCATCAAATTATTTCCATTTTCCCCAAATTACGTCCAAATTTTTACTTTAAAATTAATGTTAATTTTATTAATGTCACAAGATCAAAAAAGTCTTTCATATGCAGTTATGTTCAACTTACAAATTTTGTTATTCTATTTATAAATTGAGTACAATGAGAAATAGCTTCACTTTTTCATGGCCATTTATATTAAATATTTCCTTAGACACTATGATTCATAGTTCTAAATGGCAATTTCATCCCTGACAAATTTTAGTGTGAAGAGTTGAATTATTAAAATCGATTACACAAATCATAGATATTAGTCAACCTCTAATTTTCCTGCCATTTAATAGCGGAAAATGCAAAGCATTGCTAAAATACTGTTTTCCTTGAGAAGTTTGTAAAGTGTGACACTCTAAAGTTTTTCCTTTTGTTTTTCTGCATCAGGGAGCATTTTGGTTCCGCAATAACAATAATGTATGTGGAAGCACTGATCACAAAGGAAATCTTTTCAGCGTTGGCACAACTATGTTTTATACTCCTTAAATCACATTGTTTTTAAGATTGCCACTCTTCTTTCAGCCATCCGATCCATAAATTCACAAATGCCAAGCTTGTATAAAATCTGGGGATATCAGCTATGTCCTTATATAGTCATTTTATAGATCGACACGACCTTTTCCACTCTTAAGGAGCCGCTGGTGTATTTTTCAGCATGGTCTTGCAGGTCTGATCCAAATCATTAGAATATTCACTTGAAGATCCTCTCTAAGTCAGTTTTTACACCCTGACCTCCCTGGCAGGGAGGGGATAGTTTCAAACCTGTTGTTTCATAGTTTCCTCCAGAGACCATTCATTTTTTAATGACATGGAATTTAGAAAATATGTTTTAACACTCCAAACATTGATATAAAGTTAATCTACTTCTTGAATTCTAATCAATCAATTGCTAAACATGAACTTATGCTTGAGAGGAAATATGTACTCATAAAGATCATGAGCTCTGTGGTCTTACACTCTGGATTTGAATCCAGACTTTGAAACTAATTCTAACTACTTGAAGGAACTTGGATGAGTTTCTTAATTTCTCTAACTTTAGTTCCTTCATTTGTCATCTGGGAATATTAATACTACCTAATTCATAAGGTCAATGAGTACTCAATCAGTCAATGCAAATAAAGCCCTTAGAAGATGTATGACTCATTTTAATTTATCCATAATGTTAGCACTCGTTAACCACTATACACCAATGAGCTAGACCTCATTGTGTTCCAGTTTAAATATTTTCACTCTTTTCTTGGACCCTTTCTATTTTCAAGCTCTGTGCTCATTGTCAGACTTTGCCTTGGTTACTACCAAAATATGTCCGACTTTCTTTCCATGTTTCTATTGCTTCTTAGATCTATAGGTTCATCTTTAAATTCATGTATTTTTGGTAACAACCAAACCAGGTAATGACATTATCAAGCCCAAACCTTAAGCTAAAACTGAAGCATAGGGTTTGATTTAGTCATTGGATAAAGTTGTTTTATGCTAGAAAATATCTGCATCCCTTAACAATGGATTTATATTTCTCCTTACATTGCTGAAGAGAAATAGCAATTCATCTTTACATGTAGCAGTCAGACTCTTTTCAACTCACATATTCATTTTGGAAGATTGCCAGTCTGTGTTGCAAATAGGCACTAAATTAATTCATTTTGGCTCTGATTCAGCTGTGTTTGCTCAGGCAAAATTTCTGCCTGAAGTTTCATTGACTCTAAAGTCAATAAAATCTTTGCATATATAAATCTTGATGAGTCATCCTGAATAAGTATCTTGCAGTTTCTCTCAGTGTGATTCCTACTATTGAATAATCAAGTGGTATTTTATAAAAGATTTGAGTTGACTGAAGACAAGAGTTATCTATTGAGTAGAACCCTTGAAATTAAATAAAAGATAAACATTATATGCTTTAAAACTATTTTATTCAACACTAACTTATTAATAACGGTGGACAAATTTAGTTAAGAATAATTTATATTTGCATGCTACAACTATTCTTCATTTTAAACTTCTTAAGTGTGTAATGTGATAAATGCTCATTCTTGGTATCTACTCTGAATGAAAAGGATAAATTAGATCACTTATTTGTTGCCTTTAAGAAATATATAAAATACTGTCGACTTAAAATGTGCTATCAAATGTTTGCTACATACCTCTGTGTTCTATTGCAAATATAGAAAGATGAGACAAGGTGTGGTCTCATGAAGAGGAGAGTTGAAGAATTTTTTGTATCGTCCATAATAGAAAGCATTAAGCTTTATCTATCAAGTCAATGCTCTCAATATACCCAAATTTTAACAAACTCACAGAAAGAACTCAAAATACCCTTATGTGCTAAATTAGGTTATCAAAAGGTGAACCTGAAATAGAGCAAAATATTTATATTTACAATCCTGGAAATGAAGTTAAGAGAAACTAGATCTTGGAAGTTCATAGTAATAGTGAAAAAGTTTTATAGGCAGCAATTAGTGCAGGTAAAGAAAGATGAATAGTATCGAGGGATGCAGTGAGGCAGTGTTGTGTTTCCTTGGGATATATTCTAAACATTTCACCAATCACCAATATATCCATAATGAACAGGAAAGAATTGATGTTATACTACAATATTATCTGATGGGAATTTAATTACACAGAGTCTATTTACAAAGGTGGGGATGATGTATAAGAGATGGTTCTGGAAGATCTTTCTGCAAAACGTAACACGCATGACTTTGTAGCTTAAACCAGTAGCCACTTATATAGTTCAGAATTCTACAGTTTGGTAGTTTAGGGTAGACTCAGCTGACTAGTTCTTCTGATTTTAACTAGTCTTACTCATGCATTTGTGGTTAATTTCCAGGACCGGGAGGTGATCAGCCAGTCTAGGATGCCTCAGCAGGACTCAACTCTGTTTTACTTGATCTCTCACTGACCAGTATGAAAGCCTGAGCAAGTTCTTATAGTTGGACAGGCCTCAAAGACAGACAGCGGAAACATTCAAAATGTTTTGAGGAATAAATTTAGAAACGGTCCTTTGTTACCCCTGCTGCACTTGGCCAACCTATTTCTTTGTTTTTAAGTGTGGATTACTGCCCCGCATACTCCGATTTGCACCCTTCCAGACCAAACCGAACTGTTATATTTCATGTATTTTTTTTAGTAAAAATGAGCTAATTTGTTATTTTTATTTTTATTATTTTTCATTAGCATAATAGTTTTTGAATTTTTTTCATATGTTATTGGGGTACAGGTGGTATTTACATGAGCAGGTTTTTAGTGGTGATTTGTGAGATCCTGGCACACTCATCACCTGAGCAGTACGCACTGAATTGTATTTGTAATTTTTCATCCCTTGCTTCCTCCCACCCTTCCCCTGAAGCCTAAAGTCCACTGTATCTTTCTTAAGCCTTTGCATCCTCATAGCTTAGCTCCTACATATCGTTGAGAACACACGATGTTTGGTTTTCCATTCCTGAGTTACTTTACTTAGAATAACAGTCTTCAATCTCATCAGCCAAAGAACATATGAAAAAATGCTCAACATCACTATTGGTCAGGGAAATGCAAATCAAAACGACCCATTTCTCAGGAAAGATGAAGACAGATTCCTTTGCTTGATGGGAATAGGTGAAATGTGGCATGGAACAAAGGATCTTTAGAGCAGTCAAACTATTCTCTCTGCTACTATAATGATGGATACATGTCACTATACATTTTCAAAATCCAGAAAAAGTACAACATTAAGAGTGAGACCTATGTAAATTACGAACTTTGGGTAATAGTATTGTGCCTTTCTTGGCTCATTAATTATAACAAATGTACCACTTTGACGTGGGAGGTTGACATTGGGGGAGACTGTGTGTGTGTTGGGGGTAATTATGTGCATTCAGCTCAATATTGCTGTGAACCTAAAATTGCTCTGAAAAGTAAAGTCTATGTTAAAAAGTGGATGCTTTGAGGAATCAGTGTTATAATAAACTTTTCATTCTAACATAGAGACTTCCAAATGAAGTATTCTGTCACACTAGATCAATGCACATTTTCTAGAACTTTGTATTAATGAAATCAAGCAATATGTAATACTTTTCGTCTTTCACATAGCATAATTACCTTGAGATTTAGCTCATTGCTGAATAGTATTCAATTGTATGAAAAGTCAGTACTTATTTATTTACCCATTGATGAATATTTGAGTTGCCTATAGCTGCTGGTTGATACCCATAATGCTTATAACATTTGTGTTGTGTTTTATTTCTCTATAGTATTAAGAAGTGAAATGGCTATATCATATCTTAAGTGCATATTTATGTTGCTTAGAAAGGAAATATTTTGGCCGGGCGCGGTGGCTCAAGCCTGTAATCCCAGCACTTTGGGAGGCCGAGACGGGTGGATCACGAGGTCAAGAGATCGGGACCATCCTGGTCACCATGGTGAAACCCCGTCTCTACTAAAAAAAATACAAAAAATTAGCTGGGCATGGTGGCGCACGCCTGTAATCCCAGCTACTCGGGAGGCTGAGGCAGGAGAATTGCCTGAACCCAGGAGGCGGAGGTTGCGGTGAGCCGAGATAGCGCCATTGCACTCCAGCCTGGGTAACAAGAGCAAAACTCCGTCTCAAAAAAAAAAAAAAAAAAAAAGAAAGGAAATATTTTTTCTCTAAATTGATTATGTCACCTTACATGTTTCTCAGCAGTGTGTAAGAGTGGCAGTTGTTCCACAAGCCTGCCAACACCTGGTATGGTCAGCCATTTTAGTTCCGCCATTCATATGTGTGTATAGTGACATTTCATTTTGGTTTTCATTTGCATTTCTTTAATGACTTATGTTCTTGAATATTTTTCTGCACTTTCATTTGCTACTTGTGTTGGTGAAGTGTACTGTTTGTCCAAATCTTTAACCATGAGAGGTATTTGTTTTCTGAATTTTGGGAGTGTTTTATACATTCTAGCTATAAATATTTTACCAGATTTTTTTTTACAGTATGAATTTCTTGTATTTGGTATATATCCACATTTTAGCATTTCGATTTCCTTACCAAAAAGTGGGAAAATGCAGCAATTTCCCAGGAAGTCAAGCCCACCAATTTTGGAGGCTCCTAACACAAAGTTCCTCTTTATCCCTGCAGAGAATCATGAAAAGCACCAAAACCAAACTTGTTCCAAATGAAAGGTTTTATTGTTCCAGTTGTCAGACTCAATATTGGACGCAGTGGATTGCAAGGATGACCAAGTGAGAACCCCGTTTACAACATCTTCAATTTTTAAAACTGAAAGCAATTACACAAAAAGAAAAAAATTGAGAGGGATCATATGTGCTTACAAGTGTTTTATGTGACGTTTGTCCAATTTTAACCTTCAAAGACTCAGACCCATCAGGATCGAGTAATCCTGGTCACTGTTCTCAATTCATCAAAATTTGAGCTAAAAAGACCATGTCAACTGATGACAGCAGACGGTGGCAGGGCTGAGGACACAATACTTATTTTCCAGTCTCATGGAAAAATGAATAAATGTAGCTTTAAAACTAAATAAAGGAGATTAGAGGTTTTTTCCAACTTTACCTGATGGCCTCTGGCAATAGCAAGGAAGTGTAATGAAAAATGCTGGGTGGTGACAGTGAGGAGGAGACAGAAAAAGGAAGCATCGCTCAAGAGAGGCAGAGGAGAGAAGATATGGAGAAAGCCCTACATTCCTCACCAAAGGCCAATCTCTGAGGGTTGCAGATGGGTTAAAATCTATGCTTTCACTAAGGAGAGGAGTGGAGGAGTGGAGGAACAGGATGATGTCTTAGAAGGGGGGGATTACTTCAGACTTACAGACGGAAATCAGGGGTGTGGGCAAAATATCCCACAGAGCCAGGAGTAGTCACAGGTTGCAACCAACTTGACACCTTCACATCTGGTCTAACGAGACCCTCAGGCTGACAGATGTTACAGGGAAGAAGACAGAAGGGGTGAGAGAAGAGGGAAAAAGAAGAGTCCCAGGCCATGGAATCAGCAGCAAGGTGATTATGTGATGTGTCTTTTTACAGCCGAGTTAGATGTTTCCCACCAGTTACTAATGGAATTAATTTAAATATATTTTCTTGCTCCCAGAAATTTAATATATGGACAGTGGTTACACTCGACAGGATAAAATGTTACAGTACAACTTATATACTTTGAGTGGACAAAAAAAAAATATCATTTACAGTATCTTAAAATAAATTACCTTTGAATGAGAGCTTTGTTTTGAGGGAATGTATTCTCTTCCCAGGTCTGCAAGGGGGCATAGTTTCAAGGGTAAGAACTTCCCAGCACCATTCCTCCCTGCCTCCATCTGGGGATTTAAAGGTCTTTGTTTAAACTTTGGCATACATGGCAAAAATCAAAGATCAATCACTCCAGTGGAAATTTAAAGAAACTCCTTTCATAGACTCAGAAAACCTGAAGGGGGAGGGAATTCCTCCCAGGGTAAAAGTCTCCTTCTTTCACACCTCTTTGGACTCCGTATGTGGATCCCCTTCCACAATATTGTTGAACCTTCTCTCATTCATCTTTTTCTCTCTCCTTTTCTCTTTCTCTGGCTAAATAAATCATTTTCTGCAAAACTCTTTGGGGTCTGATATTTACTTTATGAGTGCACTGTGCCCGGTGGGGTCCTCCCTCCCATTCTTGGGAGAGCAAGAGACCAAGAGCCTGGAAGAACATCCTCTCAGGGGAGCTGAGCCTCTCCCACTTCCCGAAATTCGGTTACAGTTTCTAGTATTTTGTGGTCTACGAGATGTATCTGGAAAATTTACCACTGTGGAAAGTGAAGGCTGTTTTAATCAAATGGGGTGGAAAGAGAAGTGCCTTTTAACACTTCTCTTGTTTCAAAGACAAAAGTGTTTTTCTTTTTTATTGTTATAACACTGTTCTTCTGGCAGCTGAAGAAGCTTCATATTTTATTTAGACATCAGTAGGTGCCAAAGCTCTTGTAGAACAACTTAGAAGCTATGTGAATTCTACATTTATTTATTTTTTTTTTGCTCGCACTGGTATAGTTCTTGGGTTCACCACTGCATTCGGCCTATTAAATCCATTTATATTAACTTTTGTTATAAATCTTAAAAGGGGGGCCATTTCTGGTATTTAGGTCCACATTCTAGCTTAAGGCTATATATTTGGTTTTCATAAATTGCCTGAGCCCATGGTGGCTGCCATCTTGTGTCACTCCCTTTATCATATTTTGATTTGAAAATATTTTCTCCCAGTTTGTGGCCTGTATTTTCATTCTACTAATATGTTCCTATTAGACATGGTAGCATGAGAAAAAATATTGTTCTTCAAACAGCTGCAGTTATTAACTTTGATGAATTCCAAGTTATGATTTTATATTGGAGACAAAAATTTTTTGGTATTTTAATTTTTGATTTTGTATTTATTAAATCTTTGCTTTAACACAATGCCAGAAAGATTTATCTTACAGTTTCTTCTAGAAGAGTTATAATTTTACATTTTATATTTAGGTCTATGATCTATTTTGAGGTTCTTTGTTTTGATGGTACAGGGTTTGCATAAAAAATGCAGTTGTTGCAGCATCATTTGAAGATCTTTCCTCACAGAATTTCCTTTGCACTTTCATGTACAACTATTTGACACAAGTGTTCTAACTATACATCTATGCATCTGTTCCTCTGCCAATATCATACAATATTCATTATTGTAACTATAAAATGTCAGCTCAGATAGTATAAGTCTTCTGTGTTATTCTGTTCTCACAGTGCTATAAAGACCTGTGCAAGACTGGGTAATTTATAAAGAAAATAGGTTTAATTGACTCACAGTTTCAAATGGCTGGGGAGGCCTCAAAAAAACATACGATCATGATGAAAGGGAAAGTAGGCACATTTTACATGGCGACAAGTAAAAGAGAGAGTGTGTGTATAGGAAGAAAGTAGGGGACAAACCCCTTTTAAAACCATGAGATCTCTTAGAACTTATTCACAATCATGAGAACAGCATGGAGGAAGCCATCTCTCTAATTCAATCACCTCCTTCCTTTGACATGTGGAAATTACACTTCAGATGAGATTTGGGTGGGGATACAGAGCCAAACCATATCATTCCATCCTTGACCCCTCCCAAATCTCAAACGTCCTTTCCATGTTTTAAAACCAATCAGCCTTCTCAATAGTCCCCAAAGTCTTACTTCTTCCAGCATTAATCCAGAAGTCCAAGTCCAAGATCTCATCTGAGAAAAGGCAAGTTCCTTCTGCATATAGGCCTGTAAAATCAAAAGCAAGTTAGATACCTTCCAGATACAGTGAGGGAACAGACATTAGCTAAACGTTCCCATGTCAAATTGAAAGAAATTGGCCAAAACAAAGGGGACACAGGCCCTATGCAAGTCCAAAATCCAGCAGGGCAGTCATTAAATCTTGAAGCTCCAGAATTATCTCCTTTGATACCATGTCTCACACCCAGGGCACACTGATGCACAAGGTGGAATCTCAGGGCTCTGGACAGCTCTGTCCCTGTGTATTTGTCAGGGTCAGCCCCCACAGCTGCTTTCATGAGCTGCCATTGAGTGCTTGTGGCTTTTCTGGGCACCTGGTACAAGATGTTGATGGATCTATCATTCTGAGGTCTGGAGGACGGTAGACCTCTTCCCATACCTCTGCTAGGCCATGCCCTAGTGCTGACATCTGTAGGGGCCCCAGCCCCACATTTCCTTTCTTCACTGCCCTAACAGATGGTCTCCATGAGGGCTCAGCCCCTGCAGCAGGCATCTGCCTGCACATCCATCCATACATCCTCTCAAATCCCTACCTCTGAGATCTATACATCATCTGAAATCTAGGCAGAGGTACTCAAATGTCAGTTCTTGACTTCTGTGCACCTGCAGGCCCAAAACCACGTGTAAGCCACATAGGATTGGAGCTTGCACCCTCTGAAACAATAAATGGTGTGAGCTTTACCTTGTCCCATTTTAGCCAAAACAGAAGCTGGAGTATCTAGGACAC